GGTTTGTAAAAGGTCCGGGTGCCCCCGCTGCATCTGCACGGGTCGGGCCCCTGCTCGTAACGGGGATCCCGCTTCATTTCCTGGGCAGGGAGCCCCGGGATGCACACCACGAAGAACAGCGTGGTTTAGAAACTGTCTGGCCTCCCCCTGCCAGGGGCTTCGCTTCTCCCCGTCCCGCTTCTGCGGGCCGAACGAAAGGTGCGGGTGCCTCACGGAGCAGCCCGGGGCTGACGCGCAGGACTCCCTCCTGCAAGCAGCTGTGGTGGGTGCCCACTCCTCCCCGGGCCTGCAAGCGGCCGTCCCTGCGTGCCACCCCAACCCCGTGCTTCTGGAGGGGTTTCATACAAAGGTTGTTCACGTAAGTCAAGAGTCTGCACGACCGCAGCGGGGCTCTGGGTGAGCTGCAGCCCTGCCCAAAGCCCATCTCAGCAAGGCTTTAACCCAAGTACCATTCATCTGGAGAGATGCCCCTACCCTCTCCTCATACCCCTCAAACCAAAATCATCTCGGAAATGATGCAGGATGTAAGTCATGGAGGGCAGAGGTGTTCCTGCCCGGCTTCGGGTGGCACAGCCTCGTAGCTGGCACAACCTAAGAAACTTTTCCTCATCCCCACGCTATATCCTCACCATCGGTGCTCAGCCAGGTTTGCAGTGCAGCTCTGCTCTTGCCTTGCCCCTTGTATCATGGTTTCAGCAGCACAGGGAGGGATACAAAATCATATCCTCTAAAAGTAGCCTGCTAAACACACCCTGGAAAAGAGTTACACAGTGGAGAGCAAAACAAGGAATTTGGTATCAGATTGAAAAACATATAACATATTCTGAAACTCTTGTTTCAAAAGTTAAAAAAAACACCAGGGGGCTACTTCCTAGCACCTTCCAGCACTCCCTTCTCACTTGTGAAGCAATCAGGCAGGAGGAGAAAGCACATTTTCTGTAGGTCAGCCCTGCTAAAATGAGTTCATGGGCACCCTTGCGATGTGGCGGCAGAGCTGTGAGCCCCTCTCCTCCTGCCCAGCCCCAGGTGGCTTGTCCTGTTGGACACCGAGGCTCTGTAGGGCGTGCAGGGGAAGCAGCGTGGCCATGACACGTGGGGTCCCAACCAGGCAGGGTGCTGAGCTGGGCACGGCCTCAGCTCCTCATGCTCGCCAGCCAGCATCCTGGAGTTACCGTAAACTTGAATACATAAACCAAACTGAGCACCGCCATAGAAACAGCCCAAATAAATTGTCAGCCATAGGGAACACTTCCCTAGCAGCATCCATATACAGTTGGTGAGTTCTGGGGCTCTCCTCTGCCTTAGTTTTTCTCTGTAAATCTTCCTTTTCTTCTTCATTGGGTCTCTTTTTGTCTGTTTGTATTTCATGTCCTGCTTTATTTCTCCGCTGGCTTCTCTCCTCATTTTTCTTTCCCTGTTCTGTCAAAAAAAAAAAATCAAACCTATATTATCTATTTGTATTAGACTGATAATTATCAGTACTTCAAATATTGTTAGGATTGGGCCACAGCCAATTAGCATTACAAGAATTTTTTTTTAAATTTTTTATTTTTATCTTTTATTTTATATTTGAGTCTCTCTTAAAGTACCACTCACCAAACACTGAGGAGCGGGTTGATTATGGCAACCCCAATCCACTTGGGATCAACACCCCATTCCCTAAAAATGGGCACCCTCTGCCCTTTCAAAGAATTGAGCAGACCTTGCACTTTCTTCTCAAAGACACACAGCAGAGGAGAAGGCGGAAAATGCCCGCTCCCACCTCCCCCTCCTTTTATGCTCTAGCCCCATGGTCAGCACGTTCACCCAGAAAGGGGGAGCCCAGCTCTGAATCCCCAGAAAAACACCCCACACAACCTGCCAGCAGGCCTTGAGAGTGTGTTTGTTCTGGGCATGTGGGGAACCGACTGTATCTCCGCTCCGCCAAGGGCCTGAAATGGAAATTCAGAAGCCCCGTTATAACACGTTATAACATCATGGACATCCCATTAACACCCATGTATCCTTACCCTGTGCTAAGACTGGTTTACCGAAGGGAAGGCACTGCCACCTTTTCTGCCTCTGAATTAAAAGAAATGGATAGCTGCGCTTTGAGGGGACATCAGTCCTTATGGTGAGTATTTGGACACATGGACGGTGCCCCATACCTGTCTCCCAGGGCCCTGAGGTGGAGGAAGACTCAGCCTCACCCAGCTTGGACTAAACGCTCATCCTTGTGGGAAAAGTGGCTGGCTGAGTGATAGATGGAGCCACAAATATAGATGATTTGAGAACTTTAAATCAGAAAGTAAAGGGCTACGGAGCCTTCCAGCAGGGCAGCATGTGAGCTGAAGTTTTCAGGATCACGATTTTGGAGTCTTCTGCAAGCGCTCCAAAGTCTTTTGGCTCTGACCCGCTGTTAGTACCCGGCATGCAGAACCGAAGGCTTAGCTGTCGGTTCCAGTTTTGCTGCACAAATGTCTTGCCAGAGCCTGGGCTTTCAGGAGGACCTGCTGATTTAATAGTCCTCTTCTGTGGCTGAAATCCCATTCACACCCACGGCTCTTGCATATTGCTGGTTAGAACCTATTTTGAACACCAGAAAACAAACACAGAAAGACCATAAGCAGAGAGTGTGCACTCATTTTTTAAAAGATGCTCAAAAATACTCATTTGCATTAGGTGCGATTTTTGCTCAGGTGAACTGAGAGGAACTAGCCAAGGACCCTTGGCACCAGAACCCCTCTGTTCCCACAGTAAACCCTGAGCCCCATCTGAGGCAGAGAGTTACCAGAAGAGGGGGCAGAAGCCCAAATCTTAGGAGCGGCCCAATCACATCACTTGGTGGGGCTCGACACAATGTGAACGAAGCATAACTCTCTCTTCCCAGAACACACTAAAGCAATACACGGTTTCCCCCCTCCCACCCAACTAAAAATACATCGTATTTATAAAGCACATTTCCCCTATGTTTCAGGAAAGAGAGGACTATTTTTACACATGGTGTACAGACAGAAATACTCCAGCCAGAGTGGGTGAGAGCTGGCAGCGTCACGGTGAGACTGAAATATAGCTGTGGCTCAGCCCTTGGAGACAGCCTGGCTTCTCCCCCCGCAGAGAATTTGCTTCTGAGCATCTATAACGTATTTCTTCCTTCTTCCCCAAATCAAGGGTTAGAAGGAACATGAACCACATGTGAGAATGACTCATTAATTGTCCAGGTGATACACTGATGAGAAGAAAAAGTTGCTAATAAAAAGCTTCTGCCCCAGGGGTAGGGGGAATGGTGTTATGTGGGTTGTTTGCCTTTGAGTGCAGGCTGTAGCAAAGCACAGACTAAGCCAAAATAATAATTTTTGAAGGTAACGGGATATATTTTTCATTTATAATACATAGTGAAAGATTTGGGGTTATTGTGGACTTTATGTTCTTTTGTAAGTTAGCTGCATTTGTAACACAGTATGCCTGTAATGAGTAATAAGAATATGAAAATTATTGTCTGATAATAGGGATAAGGAGCTATGGCTTGGTTTGCTTGGATTTTATTATGGGCTCCCAAATCTTATTCTGATTTTTCATAAATATTTAAATCTCTCTATAAAAACAACACAAAACCCCCACATGTTAATCTAGTGATGGATGTTCTGTGCGTATATTGCAAACAGCTGTGCTGGAAGCTAACTGTCCTATTTACTCATAGATTAGAAATGTTATTTAAATGAGTATTTTTGCCACTCCAATTGTAAGAGTACTCTAACTGGACTGAATTTCCTTTATCTTGAGTAAATAGGCAGTAATTTCTATTCTTCAGTGTGCATTGTGCTGTCCAAGCCAATTCTTCCTTTTTGTGGTGCAGGACACCTCCAGTACTCTCATAGCAGCCACAGAATATCCCTTAGGGAATTAATTTAGAACTTTGTATGAAAACCTCTTGGAGTATTTTGGGTACAAGATGCTGTGGGCTGCAGGAATTTTTCAATTGTTAGATATAAAATGAAAGAAAGATCTAATTTGTTAATGGAAGAAGTTAGAATACAGATTCCTCTTGGAAGAACAGGCAGGCTTGGGCTCAAGTTAGCTTTGAGGTAACAGTTACGGTGCTTAGGAAAATCTTATTGAAGAAGACCCACTGTGCCTCAATCCCAAATACATTCCAAGTAGCAGGGAAAAGCCTCTTTTCCTTTGAGTTCTTCCTATCTACTTCAATAAGCCTTTCTTGACAGGTTGTTAGACAACTCTGGTTTTAGAATGAGGCCTCTCGCCTAAAAGGTAGGCTGTAAAAGGGTAGTAGTAGTTAAAATCTTAGCTGTGCTATTAATGAACTGTGGTGTGTGGCGCTCTCTTTCCTCAAGAAAAGAACAAGCTTTCCTCTTGATGTGGAAGAGCAGAAAGCGTAACTCACCTTGCTGTTGTCTCCTCTTTCTATCAGTTAGCTGTAGCCCAAGCACCCGGGTAGTTTGAAGGTCTCCAACCCTTTGTGTCTCCTCACCCATCAGAATGTCTGGACGTGGAAAGAAACACGCGGTGGCTGGCAAACCCGCAGCTGCACCGAAGAAAACCAAATCAGCCAAGGCTGGTCTGCAGTTCCCCGTAGGTCGTGTCTACAGGCTCCTTAAAAGAGGGAACTACACTGACAGGGTCGGTCCCGGCGCTGCCATCTACTTGGCTGCGGTGCTGGAGTACCTGAGCGCGGAGATCCTGGAGCTGGCGGGGAACGCTGCACGGGAAAACAAGAAAGCCAGGATCCTGCCCAGGCACATCCAGCTGGCCGTGAGAAACGATGATGAGCTGAACAAGCTCTTCTCCTGCGTGATCATCGCTCAAGGAGGGGTTATGCCGAATATCCTTTCCCAGCTCCTTCCCAAGAAAACTGTTGGAGATGCTGCTCCCTTTCAGGGACAAGGTGGTAGCCAGTGAAACTTGCTTTTCCCAGTCTGGTCTGTGCACTTATGGATGATGGGACTCAGTAGCACTAGTTTCTATGTGTTTGCTTCTTTGTCAAGTATTCTTCTGATAATTTTAATGCATTTTTAAAGCTTGTAATAAAGTTTCTAGAATGCCACATGTTCTCCTCCTTTCTTTTCTCAGCTCCTCTTCCAGGGATGGAAGAACACAGAAAATGTCAAAAAAAGTCTAGCATACCACCCGAATAACTTTTTAAAAAGTGAAGTACATGTTTACTTTTGAAAACATGTTACAGGTAACTGTTATGGAGCAGACAGAGGTGTCAAGACACACACTGCCATTCAGGTTCATGTGAACTTTTCCTCCATCACAGATTCATAGTGCAATTAGTTCAGTGCCTCAGAGGTTGTTTAACTCTGCTTTAGAAGTTAGTAACCCTGTGCTTTAAAGTCTTATTGCTCATAAATCTGTAGCAAACAAGTACCTCTCTTTAGACTGCTCCAACATGACACTAAACCTCTACCCCCTCCATCTTATCATAACAACCATAGGTAGTTTATTTAAAATCTGGTGCAATATTTGTGCTGTTGGTAGAAGTGACTGTCTTGCTGCTGTCTATCAGTGCAGAAGGACAAAAGTCTCCATATCCAAACAAGCCCCCAGGCCTTTGCTGACCAAGTCATTGAAAGTCTTCCCCCAGGAAAGTGCCCAGGGATTCTCTGTTCATAGTGGGTGCTGAGGCTTGCTGTTGAACTGGAAACCAGGGATCTGCTGCAGCTGCATTAGGATCAGTCTGCCCCTGAGGCAGTATCTCACACAGAGAATTGCTGGTTAGGACCAGCTTCCTAAACTGTAGCTGGAGCATGAACTTTTTATTTGAAAAAGATTTGCCTGTCCTGTTGAGTTTGACCTAGCTCCTTTGCCCCCTCAAGGCACGAGGGTGTCGGACCCTACTGGCCAGGTTTTATGATGCTGACAGACGTCAGAGCTGTATGCAGCTGAGTTAATGACTCACTCCAAGCTGTGCTTACACAGAAATGGGAAGAGAGGATACCTGACTGTTGTGGTTTAACCCCAGCCGGCAACTAAGCCCCACCCAGCCACTCGCTCACCCTCCCTACCCCGCGAAGAGTAAAAGTGAGAAAATTTGTGAGTTGAGACAAAGACAGTTCAACAGGTGAAGCAAAAGCCACGCACACAAGCGAAACAAAACAAGGAACTCATTCCCTACTTCCCATCGGCAGGCAGGTGTTCAGCCATCCCCAGGAAAGCAGGGCTCCATCACGCGTAGCGGTTACTTGGGAAGACAAACGCCATCACCCCGAATGTCCCCCCTTCCTTCTTCTTCCCCCAACTTTGTATGCTGAGCATGACGTCGTATGGTGTGGAATATCCCATTGGTCAGTTGGGGTCAGCTGTCCCGGCTGTGTCCCCTCCCAGCTTCTTGTGCACCCCCAGCCTGCTCGCTGGTGGGGTGGGGTGAGAGGCAGAAAAGGCCTTGGCTCTGTGTAAGCACTGCTCAGCAGTAACTAAAACATCCCTGTGTTATCAACACTGTTTCCAGCACAAATCCAAAACATAGCCCCACACTAGCTACTATGGAAAAAATTAACTCTATTCCAGCCAAAACCAGCACACTGACTGAGCAGATACTTGATTTCAGGGTGGTAGGCAACTGGAACAGTCATTGTATGCTGCCTGGTTTTCAAGAGCAATTTGATGAGATCTTGGCTGGCCTGCAATTAACCCAGTGAGGAGTTACGTTAGGGTCAGGGGTTAGTTAATCCTCAAGTGGAAGATGCTGTAGCAATGAGAAGTGAAAAAGTCTGAGAGTAGATCTTAAGTTTTATGCATGTAGTAAAAATGTGGTATATGTAACTAGCCTTGTGCTGAGTGCTTACACCTGTAAATGAAAAAAAAAGCTTTAAAGGAGGTACATGAGAAATGAACACATGAAACTCAAATTATTTCCTTCATTTAACCATGGCAAGGGAAAGCAGGGAATGATTATTTCTTTGGACCAAGCAAAAATCTAAAGGTTTGCGGTAATGGTAGAAGACTCAAGCAAGGCACTAATTTTGTGCAGTTTTAAGCATGGAAGTGCTTACAGCACCCTTTGCTAGTCTGGAGAACTGTGTGTCAGTCATCGTGCCGCTCCTGGATGCAAGCTGCTCCTGTGAGCCTGCTCTGCACAACACCAAACAGACCCTGCAAGGCATGGCCAGTGCTCAAATACCTTCTATAAATGCCTTCACCTGCCATTTTCTGTATGATGGAAGGCACTGAGTGAGCTGTGTAGCCCTACCTCTACTTACACCCAAAGACAGAGTTTGTGGTGAAGTACTGGTCCAATTCAAATGTCAATTTTTTAAGTAGTTCTTTGATCAAGAACAATCTGCTTGCTTTCTTCTAGCCAATAGTTCAACCCATTTCTAAATTAACCAGATAGCATAGTGATCTGAAAACTCAGTCCTCTGGGGTAGATGTCTCCTAACCCAGCTGCTCAGTAAAAATTTCTGTTGTGCCAGGGCTCAACATTCCAGCATTTGTGTACTGACGAAAAAAATTATTCAGCTGTCACCACATCCTTGACCCTAGAAAGGATCTATTATGCCTTGCAACACAGCTATGCATGACTTTGGAAAAAAACTGGACTGTGTGACAGACGGGGACAAGTCCTAGAAGAGAGAGAACCCAATGTCAGGCTTTCCCAGGCTCTGCAGCGTGGTCACAAAGCAGCTTGGCCACTGCTGGCAGCACAAAGAACAGTGGTACAGGTTGCTGGGTTTAATTCTTGATGACTGCAGCAAGGTGAGGTGTGCCCCCTTCCAGCTCTAATAAATTAACTGCCAATCAGAGATACTGCAGATCTAACAGTAACTGTTAGGCTTTTTTCCAGAGGAGATCAGCTAACAAGGTGCTAAGCAGCTCTGCAAGGAGTAGTGACAAATTCTCATGCTCTCAGGGACTGTACTGAGTTGCTCTTGTTTGGGACCTTGATTGTTTCCTATTTTGAGTGGCTGAATCCTTGTTCACCCAGGTGGCATTAAATGATGCAAGAGCTGGTAATGATAGGGCTACCACTGTGGAGTTTCCAAGGGGGCAGCTCTTGCCAGAAATTGTGATTTGGCGGATTTGGGTAGTGGTATTGTTGGAAAAGAGGCGAAGTCAATAACTTCTTCAGATGAAAGTTCTTAAGAAATGACAGCATGCTTTCTTTGTGTTAGATAAACTCCTGAGTGAAATAATAGTTTTGTAAGTTCTGTGTTTGGTATAAGGCTGCTTAAGGGGGCTTTTAATTTTTTTAATTTATTTACTTGTGTAGGCTAATTTTAAAAGCTTATCTTTCTAAGGCCCACAAAAATCTGCTAAAAGAACTTTTTATTGTATTTTTAAGCACTTCAATTTGATATCTGATTGAGTTCCTCCCCACATCTGTACAGAGCTTCTCATTATTTAAAACCAACTAATGATTAAAACTTGAAAATAATTCTATATACGAGAGCAGAATTTTCCTGAGGTTTTTTTCCAGTTGCTTTGTGTTATACATGGAAGAGTAATCGGTACTATTCAGTACCAGAGACTTTATGTCAGTAATAAGTGATGGGGCTTGTTAGAATGGATGTAATACCATACAAGAATATGGTACTTGTGCATTCGTAGTAGCCTGATGCACAGTGTGCTGAGCAGAGCAATTTCAGTGTCTGATGTAAAACAAAGCTGCTCTTCTTCCCGTAAGTCTTGATTGTGGCCTGTTATCTTGCAGCAATAGGTCCCCTCACCTCTGGAAGACAAGATCCATTTGAAGTGGTTTCCAGTAGATGAAGTTCTTTTTTGTTGTTCTTACTTCAAACAAAGATGAGTTTCTAGCTCTGGCTCTCACAAGGTCATCATTGCAGAAACTACTTAGGTTCTTACCAGCGGTAAGTTCAGTGAAGCTTCCCTGCAGGGTTTTTGAACACTTGTGAGTATCCCGAAGCCTAGTTTGCTTAACCTTTCTCCTTAACAACAGTCCTCCTTTGATACTGGGTCAGAAGACCTTGCTCCTAAGTTCTACCTTACTCTCTTGAAAAGTTTTGGAAATCTAGCAGATGGCTGACCTGCTGCTCTGGCTGCGCTTGTAGATGCCTCTTGGCTGGAAACTTGTCAGACTCTCCTAGAGCAGCAGCCTGACCCATCTGCTCCTTCAGACAAAAGTATGAACAACTAACGAACTTTCTGAGAGGGGAAAACTGACTTGTAAAGGAATTAGAAAGGCAGTGAAACGAGGAGGAAGAAAGGACTTAAATGCTCAGTTTCTGTGTCTGTTTGTTTTGGGTTTTTAATTCTTTCTTTTTTTATACTAGGTTGATAGAATGTTTGAACATGAGAAGAAAACCACAAGGCTCCTCCTTGTGCCAAAGAAAACCAAATCAGCCAAGGCTGGTCTGCAGTTCCCCGTAGGTCGTGTCTACAGGCTCCTTAAAAGAGGGAACTACACTGACAGAGTCAGTCCTGGCGCTGCCATCTACTTGGCTGCGGTGCTGGAGTACCTGAGCGCGGAGATCCTGGAGCTGGCGGGGAACGCTGCACGGGAAAACAAGAAAGCCAGGATCCTGCCCAGGCACATCCAGCTGGCCGTGAGAAACGATGATGAGCTGAACAAGCTCTTCTCCTGCGTGACCATCGCTCAAGGAGGGGTGTTACCTAATGTTCTTCCTGAACTTCTTCCTAAGAAGACCATCTCATTTAAACCGCCCCATAAATATGTCCAGTCACAGGAGTTCTAGCTGCCATCAGGCTCCTGACTTTGTGATGGTGTTAACGCTGGCTTTCTCCATGGCTCAGAGTTTTTCATGCTGGTTAGCATTTTTGGTCTAAATTTATGTGTGTGTACCTGTGCACATGTCTGAAAAGCTGAAGACGGGGTTGCTAGTTAGGTTTCCCTAGCTATGTCCTTCAAAAGCAAAAAGTCAACAGACTACTTCTATGAATAAATAAGTGTGCAAAGGACTCGTGTCCATCTTAGTCCC